AATGTAGTTAAATCTTCAGCAGATGACATTGATATATTAAAGCTTTGACTAGTAGATAATAATGGTTCTCTAGTTTCCTTGTTACTATTATCAATAGAATGATCTATTCTTCTAAATTGTTCTTGTCGATGCAATCTTTCTGTTTGAGTACTTACAATTTTTCCACTTTCACTATAGTAAAAATCTGAATATTCTTCTTTGGCAATATTTAAAATATATATTTAATTTTTAATAGTAATCTTATTATGCTCCCCATCATTTATATTACATTAAAATTTCTTTTATTTATTTGATCATTCTGATTTATTTATTAAATTATGATATATAGCTAAATAAAAGATTATGCACAAGCGATAATAAACTCTGCATATATAATAATAAAGTTTTCTGATTTAACCGATATATTATATTTGCATATAGTTCTAACCAATCATATAAAGTTACCTAACAATATTCTATTGTACAAACTCATACGAAAGATCCCCAAAATCCTGGGTCAGAATATATCGAAACCCTGGTCAGATGGGCCAGAATTGATCAATTTTTGCTTAAGATCACTAAGAATTTAATAATGAAACTAGTTATTCATTAAGTAAAAAATGTTTAGCTAATAATTTTACTACAGCTTCACTAACTAGGATAGCTAACCTGACCCTAACTACGATATATTTTGGCTATTTTAACCTAAAAATTAGATATTATTCTTTTATATAGAAGTATCTAAGTCAAATGCATCAGTATTATAGTTAGAGTAAGCTATACTGGTTATAGTAAAATTATTAGCTAATGCTAAGCACTTTTTACGCTAAGTACTTTTTACTTAATTAGTAACCTTGAGCAAATGGATTGATTTTGGCCCATCTGACAATAGAGATAGTTTCAACTAGGCATATTATAGTTAAATATAGAATAGATTAAGTTAATCTATACTTGTTTCAACAAGTTTTATATTTTATTAAAAAAAAGGTTTATTTCATGTACGTACAATAAAAATTACAAAATATTAATAAATTATTAATAATATATAATCTAGATTAGTTTAGTTACTATGGTATACAAATATGCAAATATTGTGTTGACTATTAATTTTAACTATGATAATCAATATTAACTATATAGATTAAGGTGCATGCTTTATAAAGGAAAGATATTCTACAAAATCGAATCTTGCTTTTCTAAACTTAAATATATAA